ATTGCTCTCCGTGTTCGTGCACCCGTGAATGCAGAGGGGTCGTGTGGGTTTGTCCCGTTTCACCAGGCAGCAAAGCCTCCTGAGCATTGCTCCCACCTCAGCCAGTGGAAAACCGGCGTTTTTGACTGGGAACAGCATTCTACAGCAGAACAATGTGTGTGCACGAAGGGAGGGCTGGGGAGGACAAAAAGGGGTCGGGTGTGTGAACTGTGGGAGCCTCTGGGATCAGAGGGGGTTTGCAGCTCAGAGACATTGGCTGGGGCTGGATAAGGTCGGGTATTACAGAAGGAGGTGGCAAAACGAGGGAGCAGGAGAGGACCCAATTTTGAACTGAAGTGGTGCTTTGACCCAAGGGAGCGGCCAGGACACAGCTGTGGTGGTGGGGGTGACAGAAAGGGGACACGTTTTGGGCTTCTGGTGGCAGCAGCCAAGAGCTGATCCCGTTTCCTTCAGTGTCGGTTGGCTGGGGCCCTCTACACCACTTTGCCTCAGGTGTGAGCAGGGGCTCCCTCTCTCACCAGCGTCTGTTTCTGCTTTATCTGCAGTTGGAAGCAATGTTTTGTGAAGTCCTCAGACAGTTTCAGAGCCTCTTTAATTGGATAGATTTTGGAAAAGCACTCTTTGTTAGTAATACATTTTTGAAACTCTTTTTCTCCAAAGACTACTTTGACTCTTTCATCTTTCCACCTGTAAGAAAGTGTGGTTTTCTTTCTCCCGTTCATCTTCTCTGCCCTTAACCTCCTGGGAAACGGGGATGGGAAAGAAAAGGAGAAAGAAGGGAAGAAGCAAATGGACTGCATTTTTCCACTTTTTCCTCTAATTTAATTGTAATTTGAAATTGAATATTTCTGTTTCCATGAGAATTGGTTACATTTGAACTCGTCGTTCTTTGAAAAAAGCTTTTACGTTCACCATTCTGTAGTTAACAGTGTCCCTGTGAAGGCATTTGATAGAGCTATTGAGCAGACTCAAAATACTTACAAGCCTTAATTTTTCCTGCAGATTAAAAAAACAGAGCGAGCTTCAAAAATTAGCAAAGAGCAGATACTGCTGAAACAGCACCGGCGAGTGTGGTGGCAAGAGCACAGGAGACTGAGCGAGAACAGGTGAGAGCCGAGGTATCTGAATTAGCTGTTATTAGGGAAATGCCTCGGTGGACAGGTTCTGCTGTGGTGTGGTTGATGCTGGAACGCTGGCACTGAAGGTGATTTTGTGTGCAGGGTGTGGGGGTCTGTGGACACGAAGAGGGGGAACAGAGAGCTGCACTTTATACCCTCCCAGGCAAACAATCCCCCTTTTTACTCAATTGTTCGAGTATCTGAGGTTTATCATTCTTGAAAATGTAACCAATAAGAAACTAAAGCTTCAGTAAAACTCACGTTCATACCTTGCAGGGAAAAAGCAGAAGCAGAAATAAAGGCTTTTCTTGATGAAGAAAGCCAAAAGCACAACTTTTTTTTGGATATGAGGGACCTGGGTAAGAATTTTTTATTAATTTCTTGATAATTTTTTATAGTAAACGTTATCTTGATTGTTTGTTTGAGGTTTTTTAAGTCCCTGTCTTGACAGGTTTAGATTTAGAGAGCACAGTGCTGTGTAGTATTTTGTGTGTTTGAGAAAGCTTTGTGTTTCGCTTGGATATAGGACATAAATTATCAAAGGAGCGGGATACTCACCGAACAGATACTGTAGTTCCTATCTGGAAACTAAAAGAGAATTTGAAATTCAGGCTGGCTGAGATGAAGTGTTACCTCTCAGAAGAATCTTGTCTGAAACCTAAGATTAATCCAGTTGAGATGTTGCAGCAGGTTGGTATTTTAACTTTATTTTTACCGTTTATTATCACCATATTTTTAGCATTTTCATTTATTTTTATGCAGTACTTTAAGAATATAACCCCCATTAAGAGTATCCAGTAACCTCTGTACTTGCTGCAATGTAAATCTGCTTCACAAAAATATGCGAAAGCAACTGGAAATCAGGGTCCTTGTTTCTAAATAACAGCTTTTATGTTACGACAAGATAAAGAAGTAACAGCGATGTGTTTCATGCAATAGATCGAATTTGCGAAGAAGCAACAGAAGGCAATTTTGGAATTCCTTAACCTTGAAAGTCTGGCTTTGGAAAGAGAGCTTGAAGACTGCAAGACAAAAGTGAGCTTTTCCTTATAAGTGTATTAGCAATTTTTTGGGGAGAAAATGTAATGCAGAGCAGTCTGCTGAGCAGCATTTTTTCATGACAGGCATTAGCATGTTCTTCTGAAGAGAAAAACGGGCTTTTCCATGAAGTTCCCTCAGCACTGCTGTCTTTGGAGTGCCCCTACCCTGACCTGAAGGCCTTCGTTATCGATGAATACCAAAAGCTCGCACGGGAGTTCTGGTCTAAGCTTCAGGAGATGGATCACCAGTTACAAGCTGTGTCTAGGTAACAACCCCCATTTTTGGATTGCTTTTGTTGGGTACAAAATACATAACTGTAATGTATTCTGTAACACACAGATCCTGCAGCTGCTGGGCCACCCGAGCAGGTTCTGTTCACGCGGAGCAGGACTGGGCTGGTCCTTTCCTTGCAGCAGCTCCCATCTGAAATGAGAAGCACAGCGTTTTGTGGGTTAAAGAACCAAGTCTGGTGCTCTTCGAATGTCCCCTTCACGTGCTTTTGTCTGAGCAGAAATGATGCTTTCTGCGTGGTAACTGCACTATCAGATTCATGCCAGCGAAGTGACAGTCGTTCTGAAAGAGGTCTAGAAAGTGTTTATCTGGAAAGCAGATAAACAGTCCAATCTCTTCACAAATTTTGGATCACTGCAGTAATTCTCATCCCAAAGAAGTGTAAAAAGTGTATGTAGCTCTGATTCAGAGCAGCTGAAAGGAGGAGAGATTTTTGGTAAATGAAAGAGTTTATAGAAAGAACATAAATATTCATAGTGATCTAGGAATGTGACGTACCTATATTAATAGCATAAAGCTTTGCTTTTCTGCTGAAGCCAACGTGAGCCCAGGAGATGCTGAGCTGCAGATACTGGACCAGCCTTGACTTTTTTTGCCATCCACTGATGCTGCTCTGGCTTGGAAAGGCATCAGGTTTTGAGAAGACAGAACAGGGACAGTCAGTGGAGGTGTCTGGGGCTTGGGCAGAAACTGGGGAGAGCAGGAAGTCCACAATTTCTGTGGCAGAGCAACCACACGCTGCTTCTGCATCTTCTCTTTTCTGGATATACCTGCGTGCAGCACTTAAATCTGCTGCCACTGCTTAGTGAGTCTAGGGGGCTGAAACTGGTTTAAGGTGCTGGATCCCATAGGAAGTGATGTTGTAATCTACTTATCTTTGTATATGTTGTACAGATGTCCTGTAGGTTCTTGTGTTACCTGAAACCTGTATATAACTACTGTAATGTCCTAGCTATTATAACATGATACTTATTAGAAATTATTCTGGTCTTTCCTGTATTTATAGGATTTATTAAGCAACAAGTGGCAAATTCACAGCGGTTCCTTTGCTGCTCTCTGGTATTCTGTTACGGTTGCTCTCATGGAAGAAGTTTTAACAACCTCTGTGAGAAAATCTGTGACAAACATTAAATCATTAAAAGCTTACTAAGATTTCTTAGTGGTTTTAACTAAAACAGTGTTAAACTTTGTGATCCACACAATTTTGGTGAAAATTCATGAGTTTAAATCCCTTGATCCACACAGCATGTGTGCCACTGAATAACAGACAAATGTCAGCATAGACGATCTAAGGACATGGTTGAAAAACCTGCCATGGCGTTTTCATTGGTCATGTGTCAGGTTTGAATTTAGGTCTTGAGCTAGCTGATTTTGCGCTGATAATGGAGTAACATCAAGACTTGAAGATAAAATACTTAAAAAAAGATGAAATACTTGTGAGGGAAAGCAACTCAGTTGTAGGCATGAGGACACGCAGCGGTATTTGGAGGAATGAGGTTCTGATAGCAAGATGGGGAAAATAAATGTGTGCAGCTGGAGGAAATGCTGGTGGCAGCGGCAGCAACCTGCTGCTGGGCTGCAGGGGCAGGACAGGAGGAGAATTTACCCCATTTGGCTTGGTTATGCCAGTGTTGTTGGCTGGGAATGCATAAACGAGCCATCAGCGATTATCTGAGGCGTTTTACTTACAGCTAGATCTTGGTCTTTTTTTGTTCGCCTTCTGGTCTCCAGATCTTTAACGTGTTGCTCATTTATGTTTCTGTGATTTTATCTGCAGCAATGTTGAAAATGTGTTTTCAGTGAAAAAGGAAGACACTGTTCTTGTAGAATTGCTTACTTCCACGATCTGTTCTTTATAAAAGACAACCCTTTCTCACATTTAGATTGGCTAATTTACATGAAAATATTTTGAGTATGCAGTTACAGCCTTGTGATTTAGGTATTTTATGTTTCATCAATCTAACCTTGATCCAACTAGCACAGATAATGCTGTCAAAAACAGAGTGACAGGCTTTCGACCTTGATATCTATCCACTGTGCTCGGCTGATTAATGTAGCCTTAATGAAGCCTTTGCAATTACTGTCATTGCTCTATAACCGAAGATAACATTCTCCTGCAATACATTTTTTCTCGTTTCTGTAACGTGAGCAGTTGTTGGGCAGAACACGATGATGACACGGTGACAGGAGAGCTTGGTCACTTCATCGGGGGTTACTTCTGCTGCTCTTCCTCTCTCATCCTACGCTTGACTGTGCAGGGAGGAAACCTGAGTTTAATGCCACTCTTCTGGCATTACACATCTCAGTGCTTAACTGCTCAGGCTGTCTGGAACAGAACGTTTGGGAAATGTGCAGAGAATTCCCAAAGAAGAAAAATGAGAATAAGGTAATATGGACTGGGTGATCCTTAAAGGTCCCTTCCAACCCAATACATTCTATGATTCCATCAGTATTCTGGTCTGCTGTATTCATTGTGAGCTTTTCAGTCCCGCTATTGTAGGATGCACATTACAGTGTTTATTGCTTTTAGAAACTGAAGAAGAATTGGGTTGGTTTTTTCAAGCATGACATGGAATTATAGTGTTTTGTAATCTAAATTCACTCCTTTTACTGCTGCTAAGGCAAAGTTTTGTGTTTGGGAAATACCCAAGTCCTGAGTTATCCCACAGACTGTGGCCTGGGAGCTGATGTGTTTGGTGTAGCTGATGATCCTCTAAGCACTATAACGTTTTTGCCACAATTTCCAGGGATGTCTGAATGATTTAGATGTCAGAAGGGTAAATGGAGCATTGCGTATTCAGTACTATGTCCTCTGCAAGGGAATGGGGTATCAGGACTACGTCAAGTGAATTGAGTGTCTCTCTTCAGGCCCACGACCGGGATGTTTGTGGTACAACGGGCAAAGCCATGAGGAGCAGCGGGGCAGCTCACGTCTCGCTGGGTGCTCTTGGTGCCTGCAGGTCCGGCAGGGCAGCAGTGCATCACTGCACATCACTGCTGCGAGGGGATTACAGCGGGGAGGGCGGCTTCCCCCGGAGTTTGTATTCTTTAGTGTGTGTAAAGCCAGGGATTAGTGCTGGGTAAATCTGCTCCAAAGGAAGCAGCTGCCTCGGGGCTGCTGAATAGAAGACAATGCTGCGTTTCAGCTCTGAAACAAGATAGAGATTATGCTGCTTTCTAGTAGAATGATACGTGCACACAAAGCAAGCACTGCATTTAAAATTTGGGTCATGCATTCAGCCTTGTAAAACTTGTCAATATCTTGACACCAAAGAAGCCTGATATCGGCTTAAATATTAATGTAGCATGTGTTGGCACTTTTCAGACTTGTTTCAGACGAGATCTTCCTTTCTGGGATTTTACAGAAGTTTAAGTGAGGTGACATCTTGAATTCAGGCAGGCAGGATATTTTGAAATTCTCCATGCATTTGGTGGTTATGAACACACTGGGCTGGATCACGCTGCTTTTTTTTTGGTTTGGTTTTTTCTTTGGCTGTTTGTCTATGCACAGCTGACACAGTCTCAGCACAGCTGACAAATTTTGGCACAGCTGACAAAGCAAGGCATTGGCAGGCAATTTGTCCCTACTTACAATGAACTTCTTGTGGCTCTGGCTGTAGCTGATTGCTCTGCAGTATCTGGACTTTAGTGAGGCCTTTGACACCG